ATTTGAGTAAAATAATGAAATAATATTAAAATAATAAATGGAGTAATATTATTATAAATCAACATTTCGAAAAGGACACTACTTGGAATCCGCCAATTGTATAGGATCAGATACCTTGTATGAATATGTTAAATTAGATAATTCAATCCATACAATTTGAGGTTATATCTTCAGATCACCATTCTTTTTTTTTTTCAAGAGGAAAGCAGATGTCTATTCTCATTTTGTGTTTGGTCATTCTATTGAGTTACATCTATAAGACCAATCTCCTCGTGGTTTAAGGAGTGGAAATATGATGTACAAAACTCAACTATTGCATTTTTTTCTTTTTGTAGAGGGTCACATCCTTTTACTGACATCCTCTTGTGTAAGGAGTGGGAAGAAAGATGTAGAGACCCACGTTTTAAATCACTTTCAACTTGTAAAGTGGCTTGTTTATGTTGTTTTTTTTCGACATCATTTCCTCCATACTTGAATGAAATTGATTGAGATATATACTCCCCTTTGTTTGATTAGAATGACCTTCACCGATAGAGATACATAGGCTAAATAGGCTAGAGCAACAGCAGTGGAGGGTGGATCATAAGGGACTGATTTTCTGGGGGTCGAATTAGATCATTTTTTAAATTCTTTTTGCTTTTTCAACATTTTTTCTATCTTCCCTAGTACTCATTCACCTTTTATCAGATACATTCCCTGTGTTTTGTGATACTCCTTTTTTTGTTGGAGGGTTTGTTTTTTTTGTTTCTTACTTTTTATTTTTGTTTTTTTTTTGTCTATAAAATTTAGAAATGACTCGCCTTCTTAGTATAACCAGAGAGTATTTAATATATATTTAAGAGTCTCTGGTATAACTTTTGAATGGACTTGCGCTTGAGTGCATTGTTGTGGTAAATATGGGAAGTTCCCGTTTTATCAATTTTAGATCTAGTTATTTATTTATTTATAATTTTTTAAATTTATTTTTTTTCTACCTTGGTTGTGTTTAACCTAGATTGAGCTGGTTTGTCTTTGATTTTTGTTTTGTTTTGATTTTCTAATTACTATATTTTTATTTTTATTATTTTTGATTTTTTTTTTTTTTTAATTAATTAATTTCTTTTTTTAATATAACTTTGTTTCGTTTTGTTTATCAATCTGGATGTTTGAACCTTTGTTTCCTTGCCACACACCGCCGGGGAGAATATTACAATGAATAGGGTTATCGTTAAGATAACACCTATCGAACGAAGGATGCCAGGTACATCCTACCAAAATCGGAAAACCTGGCATCATCTACCGTCTTCACGAATGCAGAGTTATCACCTCTGCAGGCGTGAAAACGGTAAGAATAAACCATAGATTAAGCCATGCAACGCTGGAAGTGTTTCCAGCGTCAGACATTAGCCTGAATACCTTCACAGAACTCAAAAAGGGACTATGAGATGATTTAAGAGACGACAGGACCTCCGTTATTAAACAACTGCGTTTGACAGGAGCACAGAGCCAAATGGGTTGAGACTGAGAGCCTTGAAAACTACACAAAACGACCCGGGTTTAGAATGTCCAGTCCGAGATTCGAATCGCGGTGATCCACTCCTTTGCCCACCATGATGCAAACTAAGCTAACAGAATGTCCCTCTTATTTTGCACTGGATTTTTTTTTGCAGAAAAGAATCCCCCCCCCCCCCCCCAAAAAAAAAAAAAAAAAACAACCCTCATTGTCGTTTGTCGAGCAAATGCGATATGGTGTCTTCTGAATCTGCAGGGATACAATGTCCCTACAGACCGATGGAAATACTCGATTAGAAAAAAAACACACAACCATATCCACATAGAAATCGAACTCTTGTCTTTTACATATTGCGATGCAGCAGCTATATAACCACTCCATAGACGTCAGTCTTCTTAAACAATTAAAGACACAGAATACACACAATTTTAGTTTTAGTAAGAATTCAAACGGCACTTGCAACATAACAAGCGCCGAAGATTAGAGGTTTTACCAGAAAGTGACACTAAACACAATAAAGGAGGAGAGATAAGGACGATAGATGCTAGATTGGAAAGGAAGTAGCAAACCACACTAGAGCACCCGCCAACCACCAACTGTTATTGCTTTAAAAAACGGTATCAGCAACACTAACGTATGCCTACTACATGTATAAATCTGAAGCTTCGAGAGCAGAATAAGAATTATAAAATACCTTCACTGTGTACAATATGTGGCCCCTCAGAAGCGCCTCTGGCGGGTGGAGCCATTGCTTGCTACCTGCAAAGGAATACCAGAGGGGAGGGGGAAATTGTTAGTTAGTTTTAGAAGAGGGTTTTACGACGCTCGCAACTGCATAAGGTCATATGAGCGCCAGAAGATTAGAGGTATTACAAGAGAGTAACAAACATAAAAAAGAAGGGGAGATAAGGACGATAGATGTTTGATAGGAAAGAAGAAGCAAACCACATCAGAGCACCTGCCAACCACCCACAGGGGGAAATTAATTTTTTTTAAAATAAGTAAGACTTTTGCGACACTTGCAACACAATCAGGTCATAATAAGATTAGAGATTGTTACAAGGGAGTAACAAGAACAACAAGGAGGAGGAGAAGAGGTCAGGACGACATATGTTTAATAGGAAAGAAGGAGCAATCCACACCAGAGCACCCGCTAATCACCCACATATTCAGGGGATTTTTAAAAAATTCAATAAATTTGAAACACAATGGCCTAAATAAGGTAAGGGAGGAGAGTTTCGCTTATTTAGGCCACACATGCTCAAACTACCCCTTTCAGGCAACTGAGTTTGTTCCACTTTCATAATGGTGCACCTTTCTCATTTAGTACAGTTTTGTCTCAGTGTACAACTTACAAATCATAACCATAAAGAATATTGTAAGAACAAAATTTTGCTCAATCCCAATGGTTTGAATGAGGGCCAGATTTTTCCTTCATGGAAGGGCAAAAGCTTGGCTACCATTTTGACACACTTTGGTCAAGTGAAAAGGTCAAATCCTCCGAATGGACTTCCGGGTCAAATTTGGGGTATAAAAAGTGTGTACACAACGCGGCTGAGTCAAAGTTACACTATCTTTGCCTGAGTGGCACTCTCATAGGTTTAACCCTCCTATCAACATGATTAGGTTATTTAATAAGAGGCGGGACCACGTTGGACCGTGTTGACGCTCGAACCCTCCGAACCCGCAATACACACCAATGAAACCAAACGTCTCCTACAGGTAGGGCAATGTCCACTTTTGGTGTAGGTCAAGATTTCTGAAAAGCCCCGAAATCTGAGTTAGACCGCTTGCCCTTAAAAGCTACCAATTATTATCATGATTACGGCTCCGGTAGCCACTGCCGACGCCATGGGTTTTTTTATCTGGGGGGTGGGGGGTTGTCTGTTGGGCTGTTTTTGGTTTTGTTTTGCTTCTGGTTTTTGTTTTTGTTTGTTTGTTTGCTTGTTTGTGTGTGTGTCTTTTGATTTCGTAAAAGTTTGACGGTGCCCTCAACAGCATAAGGTCATATTATGAGGAACCTGCAAGGTAAAAGATTATCGTGTCAGATTCTCATGCTACGAAATAATTTACTGACAGGTACCTTTACATTCACGGAGTGCATGAACCTCCGAGGGGTGCGCAAGTCCACCACAAGAGTTCATGAGACGTTCCCAAAAGGCATGACAATGAGTGCTTTTTGTTGGAGAAAAAAAATCGTATCTTTACTCACTGAACCTCGAGAGGGGTGTGTGTGTGTGTGGGGGGGGGGGGTCATCCATTTCGTCAGTTTTGTCAGGGTAATATATTTTTTTAATAGTAGAGGGTTTTACGGCGCTCGCAACTGCATAAGGTCATATGAGCGCCAACAGAGAAGTCTTTACAGGGAATCAGACTTACTCTGCTCACCTCTCTAGCTTCAACAGCACAAGGTCTGCTTCGACTATCAAGGCACCCCAAAATAGCAGATCACAAGAGTGTGACAAACATACAAAAGAAGTAGAGGGAAATGACAATAGTAAGGATCAGGAAAGAAAAAGCAGCAGTTCCCTGTTGTAGATCAGGCACAGTTATTAGCGTGACATGAATCAGCCCATTTACAATTCTACTATGCTTGAACGAGATATGTCCCCCCCTTTGGGAATGGCCTAAAGACACTTCAGTCAGTGTCACTGCCCCGGGAGGTTTGTCAGGGTAAATAGAAGTATATCAACACGATAATGGTCGTTGAGTGCAGGGCAAAAGCAAGAGAGACAGATAAAGCAGACAAAACAGTGGGAAAGAAAAGAAGTAGGACCTACCAGAAGCGTCCTTCCATCACCCACGTCCATTCTGACACAGCGAGCGAAAATTACGATCATACAAGCCCATGTAAGGAACGCATTCACTTTCTCAAAACTACAGGTATAAAATAACTGTAACTTCTTTAAAAACTTCTTAAAAGTTTAGTGGTAGTTGTACGGTACTTGGAACACAATAAAGTCATATAAGTGCCGAAGATTAGAGGTGACACTATAGAGTAACATCCACAAAAGAAAAGCAGGAGAGATAGTTTAGTAAGAGTTTTACGGCACTCGCAACTGCATAAGGTCATATGAGCGCCAGAAGATTAGGTGTTACAGGAGAGTAACAGTAACAAACATAAAAAAGAAGAAGGGGAGATAAGGACGATAGATGTTTGATAGGAAAGAAGGAGCAAACCACACCAGAGCACCCGCCAACCACCCACCAGGAGAGATAAGTACAATCTATGTTTGATTGGAAATGATGACCAAACCACACCAAGGCAACAGCCGACCACCCGCTGTAATTACATGAATAAAAACGGTATCAGTTATCAGCAACACAAACGTATCATGTCTGTATAAAACTGAAACCCCTGAAGAGCACATCTCCAGAGAGAATGAAAACTGAAAGTGGGAGGCAGAATTGCTTTTCCCCGTAAACCCCCCAACACCAGTTTCACAACAGCTACGAAATAATAACTATCACTGGTGCTTATCTCCTCAATCTTTGTACTTTTTCTTTCAACAAAAAGCGTCGCCAATTGTTGAGGAGAAAAGTGGCCATCTTGTACAAGTAGGCGTCTTATATAGTGTTATTATATTACATTTTTGAAAACGCGAAAGAGGAAATGGGAACTGGCCGTTTGTAAAGGTGGTTGTCTTCTACAAGTGGCTGAAAGAGAAGGTTCGACTGCACTCTCGTCTAATTTCATACAAGTTTTGAATTATTTATTTTTATAGTAGAGGGTTTTACAGCGCTCGCAACTTCATAAGGTCATATGAGCGCCAAGGGGTGGGTGTCAACAGAGAAGTCTTTACAGGGAATCAGACTTAGACTGCTCACCTCTCTA